CACACACACACATTACGACACTCATGTCGGAGCCCAAGTGCCGACCGGTGGGACTGACCGAGTACAGTTGGTGCAAAGCCGTCCCCGGCGGCACCGGCATAACTGTCCTCGCCCTCCTCATCTCAAAACCAATTGATTTATCACTCCTCCAAAACGCCCTTCACCAACTACAGAAGTCCCACCCAATCCTCAACTCCAAACTCCGCCACAACACCACCATCAACTCATTCTCCTACACCACACCCTCCACCCCTCACCTCCAGATCCAACTCTTCGATCTTCAATCAACATCTGACATCCTACAAGGACTAACCAATCCTAACAACTCCTCCATGTCTCACTTCCACCTTATTCTTGAGCGTGAAATTAATACAAACACCTGGTGTGCTAACAATGATTCGTTGGACTCTGAAATTGACGTGTTCTTTGCGAGTGTGTACACTTTAAGGGATGACAGATGGGCTGTGATGCTCCGGCTTCACACGTCGGCGTGTGACCGGACCTCCGCGGTTTCATTGCTGAGGGAGTTGTTGGGTCTGATATGTGAGGGAAAGAAGGAAGAGTTGGAGTTACAGAGGGAAGTAGAGGAGGAAATGGAGGTTGGTTTGGGAATTGAGGATTGTATTCCCCCTGGGAAAGCTAATAAACCATTTTGGGCTCGCGGAGTGGACATACTTGGGTACTCTTTGAATTCTCTGAGGTTGGCAAACTTGAATTTCAAGGACATTGACTCGCCTAGATCATCACAAGTAGTGAAGCTACAGCTGAATTCGGATGATACTGATCGAATTCTTTTGGTAAGTGGGATTTCTTTGTCCTTGGTAAATTTCTTCAATAAAAGTCATGACACCAACAATTCTTGACACAACGTTTAACTAGATATGAAATCGACGCCAAATTATCCGATATGGATCACAATGGGGTTGATCTCAGTCGGCATTATAAAAAAGAAGTAATGATATGAATCTTGTTATAGACGACACTAATCCTATTATACATGAACCTAACATGACCCATTGTTAGCCTAATTCTTATCATAGTTCTTGGAAACTAAAATAGTAGAATGCTATCTGGTCACAAGTTAGAAATCCTACTATCAATTACAAACTTGTGCAAACCAATTTTCTAAGACATTTATAGGTACTACTTGTCAAAAGACTCAAAACCATGGAACTTTTGTGTTGATTTCCTAACTGTCATCTGTTTCCTAGAGTGAATTTGTTTCTGTTTGCCTCATTGCTAAGGTGACTATATTTCTAGATCTAGTCCAATACATGATTTCTTCAATTTCATTAATGGGTAATCAGTAGTTGAAAATTTGGGGGAATTCAGTTGTATAATGGATTCTAACCTTCATCGATGCTATGCTCATCTTCCCTTGCTGCACTTCATTCAAATAACAACTAACTCCAATTCAAATCGTACTTCTACGGTTCTGCCTAGTGGTTTAATTTGAAGTTATATGACATTAGAGAAGTTGGAGTTCATATCATTAGGTTTCTGGTATAACAGTGATAGCAAGTACTTTAAAATCCAAAACTTAGAGACATGGGAAGAAAACAAAATTATGAAGTTGATCCACCTTTAGTTGGCACTTGGCGGAGAAGTAATCTCTCATTGTCACTGTTTGTCCTGACTGGAGTATTCATTGACCTTTTATATGCATGTAGGGATAAGCTTCCTTAGTTTGCTTTGTCTTTTCCATCACAATTAGATGCACCCAAGCAAAAATCCATGGGATGGGACCAGTACACATATGGACCATAGACTTAAGATAACAATGAATTATTTCAGGGTAAATCATACAGGTTTCACTATCTTTTCTGTTTGATCTTTCTTAATCTTCTAGTTTGGTTGGGAGGGAGGGATTCAGTTGTCTTCAATATTAACAAGTTTAGGGGCGTCAGTGAAATTTACCCAAAATTCTTTTGTTTATTTCAAAGCACGTCTTGTCCATATTTATCATCCAACCATCATTCCCAACTTCACTTCAATCCTCTCTCTCTCTCACTCACACACACACACACAAATTACACACTCATGTCGGAGCCCAAGTGCCGACCGGTGGGACTGACCGAGTACAGTTGGTGCAAAGCCGTCCCCGGCGGCACTGGCATAACTGTCTTCGCCCTCCTCATCTCGAAACCAATTGATTTATCACTCCTACAAAACGCCATTCACCAACTCCAGAAGTCCCACCCAATCCTCAACTCCAAACTCTGCCACAACACCACTACCAACTCATTCTCCTACACCACACCCTCCACACCTCACCTCCAGATCCAACTCTTTGATCTTCAATCAACATCTGACATCCTACAAGGACTAACCAATCCTAACAACCCCTCCATGTCTCACTTCCACCTTATTCTTGAGCGTGAAATTAATACAAACACCTGGTGTGCTAACAACGATTCATTGAACTCTGAAATTGACGTGTTCTTTGTGAGTGTGTACACTCTAAGTGATGACAGATGGGCTGTGATGCTCCGGCTTCACACGTCGGCGTGTGACCGGACCTCGGCAGTTTCATTGCAGAGGGAGTTGTTGGGTCTGATAGGTGAGGGAAAGAAGGAAGAGTTGGAGTTACAGAGGGAAGTAGAGGAGGAAATGGAGGTTGGTTTGGGAATTGAGGATTATATTCCCCCTGGGAAAGCTAATAAACCATTTTGGGCTCGCGGAGTGGACATGCTTGGGTACTCTTTGAATTCCTTGAGGTTGGCAAACTTGAATTTCAAGGGCATTGACTCGCCTAGATCATCACAAGTAGTGAAGCTACAGCTGAATTCGGATGATACTGATCGAATTCTTTTGGTATGTGGGATTTCTTTGTCCTTGGTAAATTTCTTCAACCAAGTCATTACACCAACAATTCTTGACACAATGTTTAACTCATATGAAATCGACGCGAAATTACCTCATATGGATCACAATGGGGTTGATCTCAGTCAACATTATAAAAAAAAGAAGTAATAATATGAATCTGGTTATAGACGACACCAATCCTATTGTACACAAACCTAACATGACCCATCTAGAATGCTATCTGGTCACAAGTTAGAAATGCTACTATCAATTACAAACTTGTGCAAACCAATTTTCTAAGACATTTTAGAGGTAATACTTGTCAAAACCATGAAATTTTTGTGTTGATTGCCTAACTGTTATCTGTTTCCTAGAGTGAATTTGTTCCTGTTTGCCTCATTGGTAAGGTGACTATATTTCTAGATCTGGTCCAATACAGAATTTCTTCAATTTCATTAATGGGTAATCAATATTTGAAACTTTGGGAAAATTCAGTTGTATAATGGATTCTAACCTTCATCGATCCTATGGAGCATCTTCCATTGCAGCACTACATTCAAATAATAACTACCTCCAATTCAAATCGTACTTCTATGGTTCTACCTAGTGGTTTAATATGAAGTTATATGACATTAGAGAAGTTGGAATTCATCTCATTAGCTTACTGGTATAACAGTGATAGCAAGTAGTTTAAAATCCAAAACTTAAGAGACATGGGAAAGAAAACAAAATTATGAAGTTGACCCACCTTTAGTTGGCACTCGGCAGAGAAGGAATCACTCATTGTCACTGTTTGTCCTGACTCGAGTATTCATTGACCTTTTATATGCATGTAGGGATAACCTTCCTTAGTTTGCTTTGTCTTTTCCGTCACAATTAGATGCACCCAAGCAAAAATCCATGGGATGGGACCAGTACACATATGGACCATAGACTTAAGATCACAATGAATTATTTCAGGGTAAATCATACAGGTTTCACTATCTTTTCTGTTTGATCTTTCTTAATCTTCTATTTTGGGTGGGAGGGAGGGATTCAGTTGTCTTCAATATTAACAAGTTTAGGGGCGTCAGTGAAATTTACCCAAAATTCTTTTGTTTATTTCAAAGCACGTCTTGTCCATATTTATCATCCAACCATCATTCCCAACTTCACTTCAATCCTCTCTCTCTCTCACTCACACACACACACACACATTACACACTCATGTCGGAGCCCAAGTGCCGACCGGTGGGACTGACCGAGTACAGTTGGTGCAAAGCCGTCCCTGGCGGCACTGGCATAACTGTCTTCGCCCTCCTCATCTCGAAACCAATTGATTTATCACTCCTACAAAACGCCATTCACCAACTCCAGAAGTCCCACCCAATCCTCAACTCCAAACTCTGCCACAACACCACTACCAACTCATTCTCCTACACCACACCCTCCACACCTCACCTCCAGATCCAACTCTTTGATCTTCAATCAACATCTGACATCCTACAAGGACTAACCAATCCTAACAACCCCTCCATGTCTCACTTCCACCTTATTCTTGAGCGTGAAATTAATACAAACACCTGGTGTGCTAACAACGATTCATTGAACTCTGAAATTGACGTGTTCTTTGTGAGTGTGTACACTCTAAGTGATGACAGATGGGCTGTGATGCTCCGGCTTCACACGTCGGCGTGTGACCGGACCTCGGCAGTTTCATTGCAGAGGGAGTTGTTGGGTCTGATAGGTGAGGGAAAGAAGGAAGAGTTGGAGTTACAGAGGGAAGTAGAGGAGGAAATGGAGGTTGGTTTGGGAATTGAGGATTATATTCCCCCTGGGAAAGCTAATAAACCATTTTGGGCTCGCGGAGTGGACATGCTTGGGTACTCTTTGAATTCCTTGAGGTTGGCAAACTTGAATTTCAAGGGCATTGACTCGCCTAGATCATCACAAGTAGTGAAGCTACAGCTGAATTCGGATGATACTGATCGAATTCTTTTGGTATGTGGGATTTCTTTGTCCTTGGTAAATTTCTTCAACCAAGTCATTACACCAACAATTCTTGACACAATGTTTAACTCATATGAAATCGACGCGAAATTACCTGATATGGATCACAATGGGGTTGATCTCAGTCAACATTATAAAAAAAAGAAGTAATGATATGAATCTGGTTATAGACGACACTAATCCTATTGTACACAAACCTAACATAACCCATCTAGAATGCTATCTGGTCACAAGTTAGAAATGCTACTATCAATTACAAACTTGTGCAAACCAATTTTCTAAGACATTTTAGAGGTAATACTTGTCAAAACCATGAAATTTTTGTGTTGATTGCCTAACTGTTATCTGTTTCCTAGAGTGAATTTGTTCCTGTTTGCCTCATTGGTAAGGTGACTATATTTCTAGATCTGGTCCAATACAGAATTTCTTCAATTTCATTAATGGGTAATCAATAATTGAAACTTTGGGAAAATTCAGTTGTATAATGGATTCTAACCTTCATCGATGCTATGGAGCATCTTCCCTTGCTGCACTACATTCAAATAATAACTACCTCCAATTCAAATCATACTTCTATGGTTCTACCTAGTGGTTTAATTTGAAGTTATATGACATTAGAGAAGTTGGAATTCATCTCATTAGCTTTCTGGTATAACAGTGATAGCAAGTAGTTTAAAATCCAAAATTTAGAGACCTGGGAAAGAAAACAAAATTATGAAGTTGACCCACCTTTAGTTGGCACTTGGCAGAGAAGTAATCTCTCATTGTCACTGTTTGTCCTGATTCATTGACCTTTTATATGCATGTAGGGATAAGCTTCCTTAGTTTGCTTTGTCTTTTCCGTCACAATTAGATGCACCCAAGCAAAAGTCCATGGGATGGGACCAGTACACATATGGACCATAGACATAGGATCACAATGAATTATTTCCGGGTAAATCATACAGGTTTCACTATCTTTTCTGTTTGATCTTTCTTAATCTTCTAAGGTGGGAGGGAGGGATTGAGTTGTCTTCAATATTAACCAGTTTCGAGAGATCATATTATTCTAACTCTGTGATTTGACGGAGTTGTATTTAAAATATGGAAATATGCATTTAAGTCCTTGTGTTGATGAACTAGTCATTTAGTCACAACTCACATGGGTGAGAGAGGAGCCTGAAAATACAAAAGAATTTTTCTTAGTTGCTACTCAACTTGCACAATCTCTCACTGCATGAATATAGTCTCTTGAAAAAGTTGATGAAAAACTATTTTTCACCTCCAAAAAGAAAATAAACTATCAATTTTCAAGAAGATATCCGGTCATTTTGACTCATTATATTTAGCCAAGCAGTTGATGTTAGATGTTTGCTTTTAGTTTTAATTGAAAGACTGATAGTTGTACTTCAGCCATAGCTCAAACGAAATCAACTACATATTTTCTGAGCATGGGAAGAGCAAATCTGAGTTGAAACTTGACCAAATCACAAGGAGATAAAATGCAGGTTTATCAAACATTATGTACATATCTACAATGCATGCATACATAGATAGGTGTATATAATAATGTCTGGGAGATTGAGAATTATAAATTAACTAGTTAGTGGGGATTGTGATTTGATGCTTTAATTGCCATTATCTGCGATTGTTGAGAGTCTTAGATTGGTGTAAATTTTACAGGGCTGCAAATCAAGGGGGATCAAGTTATGCGGGCTCTTGGCAGCTGCCGGATTGATTGCAGCTCATTCCAGTAATTGTCTTCCTGACCAATGGCAGAAGTATGCAGTCGTAACACTCACTGATTGTCGTTCCATGCTTCATCCTGTTCTTAGTTGCCGCAATTTTGGTAAGCCTTCAAATGTCCCACATCTCAAATAGCACATTATTAATTAATTAGTTTTACTAAGTAGATTGCTTGTCAGTTTCCTAATTAGAGTTTGTTTCACTCAATAATAATATGCATGTGATTATACTGTGAGTTGGTGTGGGAGTTATATCTATGGTATGAGGTCCTATGAAGTAGATCATCTAAAATTTGGAGGTTTGTTCTTCTTCTTCTTCCCTTATTGACTCCTCTCAATTTGCATCCTCTCAATTTCAAACTTTGTAAATATTTGTTGTCACACAGAATTGATGTACTCAACATGATGTCCCTAAATGATGCAGGGTTTTACCATTCTGCTATCGTGAATACACATGACATAAAAGAAGGGGAAAACCTTTGGGAGCTGGCAAAGAGAACCTACATGTCATTTGCAAATGCTAAAAATAATCAGAAGCATTTCTGGGACATGAATGACCTTAACTTTCTCATGGTCAAGGCCATTGATAACCCTGGATTAACACGGTCGTCATCATTAAGAACTTCACTCATATCGGTGTTTGAAGACCCAGTGATTGACCATTCCGATGAATTGCATCAAGAGATTGGATTGGAGGACTACATAGGGTGTGCTTCTGTTCATAGTGTAGGCCCATCAATCGCAATATTTGACACGATACGAGATGGGGAATTAGATTGTGCATGTGTATATCCATCACCACTACATTCGAGGGAACAGATGCTAGAGCTGATTGATGACATGAAGAGAATTCTTGTAAATGGCAGTAACCATGTGGAGAGTGACAGCTAGTTTTTCTTAATGAGATTCTAGTGATGGCACTGTAGATTTGTGGGTTGGTTTCAACATCTGTTTTAACCAAGAGTAATGTAATTTCTCTCTCTATATATACATGATCAATTTGTTCCTAACTGATCAAAATCTGCATTGAAGTCTATACATTTAATGTTCCAGCAGATGAACTCATGGAACTAATACTCCAGAACACAATGAGATCATTACCCCCAAAGCACTTAAGAGTGGTCAAATATACTGCTGTATATCTTTGTTACCTAAATAAACTCATCAACTAAATTTCCAAAATCAAACCTTCCATTGCAGCACTCCACAGCATTTACCACCTCTTGGAAAGCAGTAACACTAAATGGAACCACTAGCCCATTACTTTGCTCAAACCCGAACTCGTCGTAGGGCCTCTCTAACATTATTTTTAATAGAGGATGAAAGCGGTACCTGGTTGGCACCACGAATTGTCGTCTCTCCTCTCCAACATAGCTAGGGAGAAAAACCCAGTTGGGGCCGCGGAAGGCAATTGCAATTCTCTCTCCCGTGGCAAACACTCGTATTGCGAGGACTCGCGGTCGAACATCACCTTCTTTGCTAGTTTCTTCACTGAACCCATCTTCTTTCCCAACATTTTTTTTTTCTGAATTGGGAGAGAGTTTGGGAGAGGGTGAAGATTGAGAGAGAACTAAGAAAGAAGTGGTGCCCAAGTTTAGAGNTACCAATTTCGGCCTATAACACTGTGTAACTTCGTATACAAGATTACCTCAAAGGTGCTGACTAATAGACTAAAGAAATTTCTCCATCACCTAGTGACGCCTAATCAAGCAGCCTTTGTTCCCCAAAGACACATCCAAGACAGTATATTGGTTGCAAATGAAGCCTTCCACACACTAAAGATAAACAAGAGAGGCAAATCTCCATCCATGGCCATCAAGCTTGATCTGAACAATGCCTATGATTGGGTTGAATGGGATTTTCTGGAATCAATCTTGCAAACATTGGGATTTTCTCTAAGATGGATAAATCTCATTATACAATGTGTCTGCACATTCAAATTTGAGGTGATCATCAACGGGGAGTCTAGGTGCGAGGTGACTCCTCAATGGGGTCTCCGTCAGGGCGATCCGCTGTCCCCTTATCTCTTTCTTTTTGTGGCTGATGTTCTCTCAAGGATGGTTCAGAAAGAGGAGTTCGAGGGGTCAATCAAACCTTGGAGAATTTGTCAGAGAAGTCCCATACTATCCCATTTGTTTTTCGCTGATGACTCTCTCTTTTTCCTTAGGGCTAGAAAACAGGATGGGACCAAGCTGAAGCTGATCTTGCAAAGGTATTGCGAAGCGACAGAACAACTCATTAATCTCAGCAAGTCTGGAATTCTTTTCTCTTCAAATTCATCAGAGGATCTGAGGAGTACCATGAGCCAGTTGATGGAAATTGAAGCTCTCCTAGACAATACAAAATACCTAGGTCTGCCTACTATGTGAGGAAGATCAAAAGCTGAAACTTTTAATAATTTATTAGAGAGGGTCATGAAGAAAATCCAAGGGTGGAATGAAGTCTACCTTTCCCAGGTGGGGAAAGAGGTTCTTGTTAAATCGGTTGTTCAGGCTATTCCCAATTTTGCAATGTCGTGTTTAATTTTCCCACATAAATTGTGTGATAAATTGACTCAGTGTGTTCAACGTTTCTAGTGGGGTCGGAATTCAGAGACTAGTGGAATTCCGTGGAAGTGCTGGGATGGCATGACATTACCAAAGGTGTCAGGGGGTATGGGTTTCATAGATTTCCATTGTTTTAATTTGGCACTATTGGCTAAGCAATTCTGGCGACTAATACAAAGTCGAAATTCCTTTTGGGCTTGAATTCTGAAAGCGATATATTTTTCGAATTTGGACTTCATGGAGGCTAGAAGAGGAACAAGACCGTCTTGGATGTGGAGCAACCTATTGAGGGGAAGAGAATTGCTAGCTAAAGGTCTTAGATGACAGGTAAGTAATGGGGAGCAGATTAAATTCTGAAATGATAGATGGATCCCGACCCTGTTTGGATTCTTAGTTATCTCGCCTAAGCCTTGGAACTGTAACATTGAGCTTGTTAAGGATGTAATTAACCAGGCATCAAAGTGTTGGGATTTAAATTCTCTCGGGAAGTTTACCACTGCAGAAGAACGACGAGCTGTCACATCTATTCCAGTCTCGAAAATGAGGGGGCTGGATAAGAGGATATGACATTTCGATGCTAGGGGTCAATATACAGTAAAATCAAGCTATAAGGAGGCAAGGAGGACGAAGACTTCCACTGCTCTTCAGGGGAGCAGTTCCTCCTCACGGCTACATCCTAATTTGTGGAACATCATTTTGGAGTATGAAAACAACACCAAAGGTAAGACACTTTTGGTGGAGGGTATGTTCAAATGCTCTCGAGATGAAAGAGAAATTCTATAGAAGAAAATGAAGCTCCTCCCCACTCTGCCAGATCTGTGGAAATAAGGTTGAAACAATAAAGCACCTTTTATTTGGTTGCGAATGGACACATAAAGTTTGGTTTAAGTCAGACTTGACCCTAAGAATGGAGAGCCAGAATATTGTTTTTGCGAAATTTTGGACATCCAATTTAGTGGAGAATCTGAACTCTTTTCACCAAGCGATGGAGGTTCTTAGTAAAGTTGCGTTTATTGGGTGGTCTATTTGGAGACTGAGGAATGATGTTATCTTTCAATCGGCTCTCCCCAATCCAGCAATCGCACTAAAAAGAGTGCAATTCGATTGGGAAGAGATCATCTCTCAATATTCTGTTCGGAATTAGCAGTGCCTTCCCCCAACTCTGGACCATCCAGTCCTAGCCAACTGGCTAAGACCTCTCACTGGCTTGTTAAAGGTGAACTGCGATGGAGCTTTTAATGAGAGGATGAAATAATCAGCAATAGGTGTGGTTATCAGGGACCACACAGGTGCAGTCTTAGATGGATTAACACTGCAGTCTCCTTTTGTGTCTAGTCTTTATTCGGAAGCATTGGCCTTGCGTGAAGCTTGCATGCGGCTTTCGGCTCTACAGAGGTCTGAGGCTATTGTGGGGAGTGATTCACAAGTTCTGATCTCATTGTGCACTAGGGAGGATGCTCCTCCGTGGGAGATTGCATCTTTGGTGGAAGATATCAAAGTGATTTCTAACAACCTTAGACTTAGTTTGGTACATAATCCTCGTATAGCAAACAAGGCAGCCCATTGGGTGGCCAAAACGAGAATGTCTTCTTCACTTCCGGTAGGCTGGGTTTTTAACCCTCCCACGGAGTTGAGACGTGTACTTTCTATTGATTGTAACCTTAATTCGGTTTTTTAATGAAATTTTACTTTCCTGTTCAAAAAAAAAATAATTAAAAGGAATAAGAATTAACTTTATTGGTTCTTACATTGTTAATAATTTGGAAAAATAGCATTTAACACTCCGAAAGATTTAAAAAAAATTAATTTGCACCTTCAAAGTTCAATTATTTCAAATTGTACCATCAATTAAATAAATTAGTAGCAATGTGACCCTAATAATAACGTTCGTTGCAATTTTCATCATATTGTCAACCACGTTAGAAGCACCTGATGACTTTTATCGGATTATGACGTTTCCCTTTTCATGTGCTTCTCACGGGCCTGTCAACCTAATAAAAATCGTCATGGACATTTATAACTAGAATTGCGATTTTTGTCAAATTTAAAGTCACGTGAAATACATGTGACGACTTGTTAGATAATGATTCTTTCCCTTTTCACGTATGTCTGACGTGTCTATCAATTTGATAAAAATCGCAATTGACGTTATGATTGGAATCACATTGTTACTAATTAATTTAATTGAGGATGCACTTTAAAATAATTAATTTTTAAGAATACAAATTAAATTTTTTTTGATCTTTGAGAGTGCAAAGTACTATTTATCCTAATAATTTTCATCGCCGACGCCACATTTAGTGGACATAGAAGGAAGGATGGCCCAAGAANTTTGATTTTTGAGAGTGCAAAGTGCTATTTATCCTAATAATTTTCATCGCCGACGCCACATTTAGTGGACAAGGAAGGATGGCCCAAGAATTCAATTCAAAGTGAATGTGGCAGTCCATTTAATATTGGATGGCCAAGCCAACACCCAACACCCAACATCCAAAGTTTTTCTAGACCTAAATCCCACTCTATTATACATTGTACATGCAATAACTTGTAACTTGTACGGAATTTGCAACCCTCAATTTAGGGGTGATAATTTATGACACAACATAAAAAAAATCACAAAATTAACAGGTTCAGGTTGATTATTTTTTAACAAAAATTCATAAATGACACGATCCATTAATACAAATAATAAATGAATTAAATTGGTGTCAAATACGAATAATACGAAATTAACACGTTTAACTAGTACTATAGGAATAAAATGTCACTTATTTGTTATTGTTTAGACATAATTATTGGATAAAAAAGATATTTTTAGTAATTTTTTTATTGTTATATTTATTAAGTTAATTTTTAGTTTATTTGGAAAGTATGAACATAAATACAATTAAGTAATAATAGAATTTTAAATTTAAATTTTAGCATTAAATTTTTTATTCACAAGTTATACGTGTCAACACGAACATTGTATGAAAATAAATAAATCAAATCGACACGATATAATTAGTTAAATAAATTAAATTAATATAATTAATACTTAATACAAACCCATAATGACACGACGTAAATACAACACCATAGGACAGAATTGCCATGCCTCTCAATCCCTTCTCTCCTACCTTTATTCACGTAACTTAGCTCCACTGGCCACTAGTGTTCAAATATTTGATTGACAGTAATTTTCTTTCTTGGTTGACCCTATCTTACACTACTTTATTGAATGGTTAGCCACAAAAATCGGGTAGAAATGCAGAAGATTTTTTGGTCTTCCGATTAAATCGGATAAGAATACGGAATACCTATCAATTTTCGCATTCCTACCATATCCTACCTGCAAAAATTATATTTAACTTTTTTATAATTTTTTTAGTAATTATAAGAGTATTTGTGTGGTATAATTTATATTATAACATTGTTATTATTGTGGATGTTTGAGTTGCGAAAATATAGACTTTTATTTTGTGTATGTTACATGATTTGTGGTGAACTAGTGAACTATTGGAGCATTTATGATTTTAATGTGTTTCATATGATTTAAAATTAAAATAATTGTTTGTATTTGTGTAACAATTATGATGAATTGATGTTCAGGCTTTTTTATGTTTTATTGTAATTGTCGTTGTAGTTGTTTTAGATTTTAGTGTTATTGATTTATTGTGTTGTTAAATTGATGTATGTTATTTAATTAAATTGTTAAAATAATCCAAAAAATAATAACTATAAAAATGTTTACCCGATTTCCTATTCGACTTTCTATCTGATTAATCAGGTAGAAAGTCGAGTAGGAATACCACACTTGATCAGGTAGGGTAGATCAANTAATCCAAAAAATAATAACTATAAAAATGTTTACCCGATTTCCTATTCGACTTTCTATCTGATTAATCAGGTAGAAAGTCGAGTAGGAATACCACACTTGATCAGGTAGGGTAGATCAAGAAAAAATTCTTCTTCA